CCCCCCCCCCCCCTTGGGAAGGTCCGCTGCTCCAGCCCGGACCGCGGCGCGCGAGGCACGGCGGCCCCCGCGCCCCCCCAAAAGGGGTGACCCGGCCTCGCGCGGCTGCGCCGCTGCGGTGCTGCGGAGTCGTGGCGTCGTGATTCGGGAAGCGAGCTCTATACACCGATCTCTGCGGAGCGCTACCGGAAATTTTCGGTAGCGGACCATCTGGGAGGGGAGCGGATCCTGGTGCATACGGGACCTTCGTGTGCGCATGTTTCGTTGTTCCCACGGGAAGCGGACAAAACATATACGCCACACCACCCCGACGTCGTCCTCGACGCTCAGTAAAACCTTGGGTTGAAAAAACACCCCGCCACTGGCAATGTATCTGTTCCAGCTTCCGAGTGATGCCGTGCTGTCGTGGCGTCGTGGGGCCGCTTTTTCCTGGCGCCGTGGCGCCAGCGAGCTCGGGGACGACATCGACAGCGGAAGCGAGCGCTCGAAGCGAGGCGCGGGACTCTCGGGGGGTGGGGCGCGAAGTCTTCCCAGCCCACGGCCTCCCCTCCCCTCCTGGCCAGTCGCCAGACCGCCCTAGCCTCAGGTCGGGCATGTCCCCCTACGGGCGGATCTTGGACGAAAAACTAACAGTAGCCACACAATGCCCCAAAATAGTGAACACAATGCGCAAAACATGGTCCCCATACGATTTTCTATGCTATTTTGGAATAGCCCTCCTGTAGAGGGACGGGCACGACTTACCACGAGCCTGCCAGCAGAGGCCCCCCGCTGCGAGGACAGCTCTCGCCGGCCGGGGGCGGCCCGCGCCGCGGATGCACGCTGCGGAGCGGGAGGAGGAAGACGCGCTGAGAGGCCGACGACGGGTACGATGCACACGCGTGCTGTCCTCCAGATTCGGGCGTTGGCAGAGCTTGGGTTCCAACGTGGGTCTGTTACTACAGAGAGGGTCATGAAGCAGACGTTGAAGCACACACACACATATATATGTATATGGAATGCCAATCTGTGCATATGCGTTCTGGCAAAGCGGGGCGGTACCAACGCGACGCCGAGGAGTGTCGTGGACTCGAGCCTTTGGCCTGGAAGCACGCCGCGCACGACTACCCAGTTCTGCCGCAGAACTGGGTTTAGTGGGACCTGGTTTAGTGATGTGGAATTGCCGCCATCCAAACAAAACACCAACTGCGGCAGACCTGGTTCAGTGATTCTGGCCAATCTAGGAGCTCCAAGGCCCTACTATTAACCGGGTCCCCTTACCTGGGGTCCTGGCTATACCCGACAGATGCACCTCCCCCGCCGCGCCTGTCGGTCGTTGTAGGATGACCGGTCGCCGTAGGATGACCTGTCGCCGTAGGAGTTCCGGTCGCCATAGGAGCGATCGCCGTACGAAGGTCGGTCGCCGTAGGAGGAGCGGTCGCCATAGCTGTTCCCTCCACGGTCGCCGTAGCCTCCCCTTCCCCTTTCCTTGGGGAGGAGGAGGAGGAGGAGGAGGAGGAGGAGGAGGAGGAGAAGGAGGAGAAGGAGGAGGAGGAGGAGGAGGAGGAGGAGGAGGAGGGGAGGGGGGGAGGGGGAGGAGGGGGAGGAGAGGGAGGAGGATGGGGAGGAGAGAAGAAGAGGGAGGAGGAGGAGGGAGGAGGAGGAGGAGGAGGAGCGAGAGGAGGAGGAGGAGGAGGAGGAGGAAGGGATAGACCGAGGTGGAGGACGGCTCCTTCCCGCTTGCCGCGCCCTCGAATGGCAGGGGGCGCATGCGGGCCAGCACACCGGCACCGCGCCGTGCAGGCAAGCGCGAGTCCATGCCGCCGTCGCGCCACCATGCGGAATGCTGAATAAGGAACGAGCCTCCTCCTCCTCCTCCTCCTCCTCCTCCTGCTCCTTCTCCTTCTCCTCCTCCTGCTCCTTCTCCTCCTCCTCCTCCTCCTCCTCCTCATCCTCCTCCTCCTCCTCCTCCTTCCTCCTTCCTCCTCCTCCTCCTCCTTCGGCGTCCTTCGGCGTTGACGGCAGCCTCCGAGCCTCTGCCACGGACAGGCCCCCCGTCCTAGATCCAGGGAGCGAGCCGAAAACCAGAGCCCATCCACCTCGGAATGGTCCTCGTTTCAGCGCCAGCATGGCATAATGTCGGCTCCACTGTCGCGCCGAACGATGGGTACACCCTGCGAAATGCTTTACAAATCATGGGTTAAGAAATTCATAGTCTCAGAATTTGAAATCAAACTCAGAATGTCTATTCAAATGTTAGGATTTACAGTGAAGCATTAAGAATAATCGAGACTCTGGCCGAAAACTGGGGTTTTCTTAAACATCGCCCGGAGTGTAAACCACTGGATCATCTAGCACCAACATCCCGCTGCTGCTCTGCCTTCTCCGCCTCCTCCTCCCGCTGCTGCGAGCCCTCCCGCGGCATGCAAGCTTGAGTGCACCACTGGCGACAATGAACGCTTGTGCGCGCTCGGGTGAGTCGAGACACCAGCCCTGTGCTCCTCGGTTGTTGTAGCTGTAGCTATCACCTGTGGGGCCGGCTCATCCCAATAGGCCGTCGGAGAGCAGAGCGCGCAGCGTATCTACATCAGATAAGGGATGGCTCCAGAGTCTCACCTTCAATCTCTCCTGAGACGGCCGCTCGGCACCCTACACCCACTTCCCGCACTCTGTTGTTTTGGGCAACTGTTCTTTTGGGCTGGAGTAGCCGTATTGATGTCTGTGTGTGGCCCTGGGGGTCTGGTGGGTCGCGCCTGGCGCTGGCGGCTCCCCACCCCGTCCCATCCATCCACTATCACGCGCACGAGCCCTGACATGCCCTCCCCCTGCACCCCGCCCTCCCCTGCAGCAAAAGGGAGCGTTGCGGCCTGGAGCAAGCCTTCTTCCTTGCTTGCCCCCTCCTCCTCCTGTCACCTTCCTGCTTCTCTTTCTCCCTCCTTCTCCTGCACCTCCTCCTCCTCAAGCTCGTCCCCCTGGACTCTTCTTCCTCCCCGTGGAATATTATTACTAGTGTTTTCATTATTATTATTATTATTATTTCTCCTCCTCCTGATCCACAATGGCACATGATGAATACTACTCTCCTCTCTTCCCTTGACTTGTCTGGAAGCTGTTCGGCCCCCTCCGCGTATTCACTTTTTTCTGCACAAGGTTTCGACAACTTTCGTTCCTGACGGTACTCCGGATTTCATCATTAAAAGAGGGGGTCTGATTTGGCAGGGGGTCTGATTTGAGCTGTCTTGCAGGGTTCTGGGGGTTCCGGACAAAAGGCCTCCCATTCATGGCAAAACACTTGGGGGCGTCTGACCTGGCTCGTCTGGGAGCTTTGTGACGCCTACCCCTATGCTTGCCAGCAGATTATTTTCGGAGTTTCAAAATGGTGCTCCCGCTGCAGTGTGGGTCTCATTTTCGGATCGGCGCTGTGCTCCCGTCGTTCAGACTGGCGCTCGCCCCAAAAAGCGCGGGTCACTGGATCCGAATCGTTTTGTCGTCGCTGTCGCCCCTCTTATTTCCCGTCCTTCGCCTTTCCCTGGTCCTCCTGCTCTTCCCGCTTCTTCTACTCCAGCTCCTGCTGCGGTTCGCCCTCGTCCTCCACTTTCCCCATCCTCCTCCTTTTCCTCCTGTTCATCCGCCACCTCCTCCTCCATCCCTCTTCCTTACGAATAACTTCTCCATGCCGCACCCCGACGCTGGTCGAAGGGGCGAGCCGGGCGTTTCGCCTGAGACTTCCTCACATTTCTGATCTCGAAGCTCAAAATTTCGAAAACAAATTCAAGGATGGAGGGCAGCCGGCTTCCAAATGTGGCGCTCGCCTAAGTGCATCGCGCATTCGTTTTCAAAAAATGCAAGAGCTTCACGGATGGAGGTCGGTTCCTTTTCAAAAGTGGCTCTCGCATTCCGCGCACATTCGCCTTCAAAATTGCAAGAGTTTTATGGATTCTCATGGCGAACTTCCAGAAATGGTGTTTTGGCAAAACGTCGGAATCTCAGGGCGATGTTGAAGTCCCCGAATTGGTGTTCTGGCATGATTCAGGATCGTCAAGACGCAGCAGTAACAGTGATTCGCGGCGTTGAAGTTCCAAGAATGGAATTCTGGTGCAGTTCCGGATTTCAGACGGTCGCCTCCAACGGAGCACGTCCCACAGTGAAGATGAACCCTTGTATGGGGCCTATGAAGAGGGAACTTGGTGGGAGGGTTTACTGCAATATCACTGATGGGTCTTGGGTTTGCACTGGTCCTCCTGCTCCTCCTCCTCCTCCTCCTCCTCCTCCTCCTCCTCCAATGTACACCACCCCGTGTTCCGATTGCGCAGAACACGATGGGGTCGTCTTTGGAGTTCCAGGTTAGCTATCATACGCGTCGGCGAATACATATATATATATATATAACACAATATATATATACACATATATATATATATACATATACACATAGTCGCATCACACATGAATATACACATGTGTGTATGTGCATTCACACGTGTACGCGTATGCAGAAAACACATCGCAACGGAAAATCATCGGTAGGAGGGGTAGGATGTCAGAAATGGCGCGAGCGTATCTCGCTTGTCCTCCCCCCTTTTCCTCCTCCACCTCCTCCTCCTCCTCTTGAGATCCATCCTCCAACCTCCTCCCTCCCACTTCTGCTGCTTCTGTCTCTACCGTGCCACACATCCGCATCGTGATCTCCCCCCCGTCCTCCCCTCCTCCTCCTCCTCCTCCTCCTCTTCTTCCTCCTCCTCATCCGCCTCCTTCTCCTCCTCCTCCTCCTCCTCCTCCTCCTCCTCCTCCTCTTTTTTGTCTTCAACTCCATACTGTCGCTGAGCCTCGTCCTCCTCCAACCTCCTCCCCCCCCTCCCCCTGCTACTGCTCCCCCCCCTCCTCCTTCCCCCCCTCCCCCCAACCCCCTCCTCCCCCTCCCCCCAACCCCCTCCTTCCCCCCTTCTCGCTGGCGACGACAGCGACCCAAACGACGACTGCACCGCCGGTGGAGCGCCGGCTGGGGCGGGCGGCGGCGGCGCCAGAGTCGCTCTTGCTCTTGCTCCAGTCAGAGGACTTCGACCTGCGCGAGCGGCGGGCGCGCTCGCGCCTCGCCCTCGCGCCTCGCGCTGCGCCGCCTGGCGCCTCGCGCCTCGCCCGGAGGAGGAGGAGGAGGAGGGGAGGAGAGAGGGGAGGGAGGAGGAGGAGGAGGAGGAGGAGGAGGAGGAGGAGGAGAGGAGGAGGAGGAGGAGGAGGCGGAGGAGGAGGAGGAGGAGGAGGAGGAGGAGGGAGGAGGAGGAGGAGGAGGATGAGGAGGAGAGAAGGAGGAGGAGGAGGAGGAGGAGAGGAGGAGGAGGAAGGAGAGGAGGAGGAGGAGGATGAGGAGGAGGAGGAGGAAGAGGAGGAGGAGGAGGAGGAGGGGAGGGGAGGAGGAGGAGGAGGAGGATGAGGAGGGGGAGGGGGAGGGGGGGGAGGAGAGGGAGGGAGGAGGGGGAGGGGAGGGGGAGGGGGAGGAGGGGAGGAGAGGGAGGGAGAGGGAGGAGGGGGGAGGGGGAGGGGGAAGGGGGAGGGGGAGGGGAGGGGGGGGGAGGGGGAGGGAGAGGAGAGGAGGGGGAGGAGAGAGAGGAGGAGGAGGAGAGGGGAGGAGGAGGAGGAGGAGGAGGAGGAGGAGGAGGAGGAGGAGGAGGAGGAGGAGGAGGAGGAGGAGGAGGAGGATGAGGAGGAGCGATCGATCGAGCTTGGGCCAGTTCGGTGCTGCACTATCGCTGCGCGCTGTGCTGCTTAATTAAATTGTGTGGCCTAGCTGAGGTCGCTTTTCTGAAAGGGGGTCGCGGGCGTCACTGATACGCTCGGGCCCTACCTGCACCGTCCTCCCCCGCGCAGGGGTCTGCGGGCAGGGTAGCACCCGCTATCGGGTGCCCTCTCGCTGGTTCCTCTACTGCCCCGTCTTCTCAGCCCTTCGGGTGGGGTTGGGGAGGTCGGTGCACGACAAATTAGTCAGGGAAGCTCGGGCCTCGGAGCGGGAGGAGGTCTCGGTCGGAGGCGGAGGAGGAGGGCTTCCTTCCCTGACCAGCTCGTGGAATCGTGCGCTGGTGCGTAAAAACGGGGTGGCCTGAGGGGCCGCGCTCGCTGGGGCAGGACAGAGCCGCGCCGTCCGCTCAAGTACATCATATTGTGCTGCTCCTCTCTCCGTGTCGTTCTGGCGAGACGTCCCAGTTCTCGTTCTCCGTGCGGCACCGCCCCGATCTTGCGGCTCGTCTCCAGCTGCGTGTCCGTTGACTTCGCCTGGAACTGAGGCCTGCTCTTCTCCGTGATGCCCCCTCCTTTGCCCTTGTTCTTGCGTGCGAGGAAGATTGGGATGCTGTCTGCTATCTTCTCTGCCCTGCCACTCTATGACGTCTGTGTAGTATTTCTCGAGGTAGTCGCGCTCCGCTCCTGCGTCGAACATGCGCCCCGTGTAGTTCGCCATTTCGGTCCGCGCGCGGGTGTGGGGGCTGTCGAGCGAGGCCGCGTCCACTTGTTCTCCCAGCTCCTGGCCAGGTGTTTCCCTGCTCTCGATGTTGAACGTCGCCCTGTGGTATCGTTGTTCTCCGTGGTCCCAATTGTCCTGCGTGATGTTGCCGTTGGTCGTGTCCGTGCAAGTCTCTTGCAGCTGGCGAACGCATTGTGCATGTCCTTCATGGTGGACGCGTAGTTGTAGCTTGCGTTGTTCTTCGGCTCGTGAAGCACTGGTAGTAATTGATGCACTCGTTGGGCCAAGTCTGCGGACCAGTGCCTCCTCCGCTGGAGGAAGGATCTGCCAGTAGCGGAAGACCTCCAGCGTTGTCAAACTACGTACCGAGCCGTCCTCGCTGCGCGTGCTGGCTCGGCCTGCCATCGCCCGTCTCAGGAGGGCGCCCATCGCGCTCTGGAGCATCTGGTACTCGTTGGGCGTGGGCACAAGTAGCACTCGATGCGCGACAGCCCCGTGTTGATGACCCTGCATATGGGGACCGCGCGCTTCCACTTGTAGGGTATCTCTCGCTTGGTCCAGAACCTGCCGCACTCGTAGTAGCTCTGCTTCATGGCCTGGATACGCTTCTGCAACTCTGGGTAGTAGCTCTGCGTCGATGTTACTTGAGGGCCCAGATACCGAGCCACCGCCACCACTTTGCATCGCAAGGCGGCCTTCGGTAACTTTTTTAAGTGTCCTCCGTCTTCTGCTTGAAGTCCCAGGCCGTGTCGTTGGCGTGGTTGGTGTTTCGCCTTCGGTGTGCGTAGTAGTAGTCGCCATATCTCCGTTGATGTCGCCGTTGGTGGTGCTGCTCGTTGTAGGCGTGTTCGTTTGTGGCCTTTGGCGATCTCGTTGTAGTCTTCCTCTATCTTTTTCTCCAAGTCGTTCTCGTAATATTCCTTCTCCTCGGCGTTGTGTGGGATGGCCTCCAGGTGCTGGGCATTCTGCTCGGTGCCTTCCATGCCGTCTGGTCCTCCTGGAAGTCGGCAAAAATCAAGCCGCTCCTGCTTCGTGAAGTTTGCCTTAGCAACCGTCCAGAAGTCCCTCTTGCGTGTTTTGTATCTTCCTCCTGCTCGTGGTAGTTCTTCGACTCGTTGCTCTGTGCGTTGTCGTTGCGCTCGTCGTTGTTGCCGTTGGCGTGTCTTCGTGATGTCGTGCAGCTTTTTCTCGTTCTCGCGCATCTCCATGATCGGCTGTTTGTCTGTGGCGTGTGGATTGCCCTCCGGCTTTGTCTCTTCCTGGGACCTGGTTGGGTCAACGACCGTCCCTGGAAGGTCCCTGGTTTCGAGCTCGTCCGTGCAGAACGGGGGAGGCGACGATTCGGCCGCAGGCGTGCGATTAGCCTCTCGGTGTAATTCGTGAGCCTCTCGCGGCAGTCCGTCCGTTTCGGCGCCTGGCAGTAGTACTTCTGCGCTGTCTCTACGAGGATGGTGTTGTTGTCCGTGAAGAGCTGATCGACTCCCTTTCCTGCTGGGTCCGCTGTCCTCTGCTCTACCTTCTCGATGACTTCTCCTCTGTGTCGTCCATGTCGAGCTGCGAGCGCGAGGTTGTCCTTGTCCCGTCTCGTTGGCTGAGGTCGCTGTCGTATTTGTTGTCGTAGCAAGGTCACTTGCACTGGTACGCCTCGTCTGGATCGGCAGCGTATTAGCGGGGGTCCTTGAGATATCATCGTCTCGGTCATGCTCCTCGGTATCGTGATGTACCTCGCGTTCTTCTCTCCGAAATGGCGGTCGGCGTAGGTGCGAGCCTTCTGTCCCGCACCGCCTGGTAGTCGTTCGGGCGATCCGCCTTCTTCGAGCGCTGGTGTTTCTGGTCGTCCTCCTTTCTGTGTGATGCCGTTGCCATCGTTGAGGTCGCCCGCGACAATTATGCTTCTGTCTGTTGGTTTCTTCTATCCAGTTGAACCCTCTGCTCGTCTTAGCGTAGTACTGTGGCGGTCTGTAGTATCCTATGATCAGCAGCGTCTGGTCGTGATGCAGGGTGATCGCGTAACCTCTTCCACTGAGCTGCGGCTCCTGGATGTCGATGATGGTGCCCGTGCTGCGGTTGACTTCCCTTGGTTGCCAGCCCGCGTCGTAGTATCTTGTGTTGCCGCGGCGGTGCTGCGTAATGACGTGTCGTCTGCGTGATGTCCCCACGATGATGTCGATATTGTTGTCCTCCTCGTATCTCACCGCGAGCCTGTCGGGCTTGGCCGAGAGCTGGCAGAAGAGGAGCACAGCGAGAGAGGCTGAGAGTGCTGCCATCATGCGGGCCGCCGCCCCTTCTGTCTGCTCGGTCCGAGGAATCGCATGGTGGCGGTCTGGGCTGCCCTGACAATATCTTAGGCCCAGATGGCAGCTGGAGGAGGAGGAGGAGGAGGAGGAGGAGGAGGAGGAGGAGGAGGAGGAGGAGGAAGAGGAGGAGGGGAAGGGGTAGGGGGAGGAGGGGGAGGAGGAGGAGGGCGAATCGGGCCGCGTCGGCACGGAGTCGGGCTCGAATCGGCCGCGCCAGGATGCACAACGGCGCCACGCGAGCATGGGGCCGCGCCGGATCGTGGGAATATACGGGGATCGAGTCGGATCGAGCTGGCCGAGATCGGCATGGAATCGAATCGATCAAATCGAAGTGGACCCTGCATGTGGTGCAGCGCCGCGCTGCCGCAGCTCCGAGACGGCGCGGGCGAGCTCGTCATCCCGCGGCGCGGGATGAGGGCCACGGCGACTGCGCAGCCCCAGCGAGGGGGGCTGACGAGGAAGCGAGCTCAGAGCTCACCGTCGGCTTCGAACGTATCCGACGTCGGGACTACGCGCAGCGCTTCGAGGCGCGCAGTTCGAGGATCGAGTTGCTCCAACGCCTGTGGCCTCTTCTGGGCCGCGCCGCCGCGCCTCGGCCCGCCTGGAGATCCTGGTCGGCGCGAATCCCAGGACGGGTCCAGCGGCCCGAGGGAAAGCGCGGGAGCTTCTGCCCGGAGCCGCGGACGCGCCTCGACGGCCGTCGAACACAAGGGGGCTTCCAGGGAGCCGAGGGGCAGCGCGGGGGGGAGGAGGAGGAGGAGGAGGAGGAGGAGGAGGAGGAGGAGGAGGAGGAGGAGGAGGAGGAGGAGGAGGAGGAGGAGGAGGAGGAGGAGGAGGAGAGAGGAGGGGGAGGGACAAGCTAGGTGCGCTCGCGTCATATCTGACATCCTACCCCTCCCTCCCATCCCTTACCATGGCGTAGATCCCCTCTCTACTCGCACAGTCGGATGTCGAGCAGGGCAATGATCCCGAAAGGGTACGCGATGCATTGTAGAGCACGGCATGGCATGGCGTAGAAGAGCACCGCAAAGCGTAGTATGTCACAGCATGGCGTGGCGTGGCGTAGTGAAGAATTGCATCACAAAGCTTTGCAACGCAAAGCATGGCATCGCACAGCGGCCCCGAACATAACATTGCATAGCATGGCGTTGAAGATCAAAGCGTAGCATGGCATAGCACGACGTGGCACTTAAGCACTGCATATCACAGCTTCAGCTGAAGGCATGGCATCGCGCAGCGGAACGCAACCTAGCATTGCATTGCATGCCGTGGCATGGCACGGGAAATGACGCCAGCGCTGCAGCGGGAGCACGA